ATCTTTATAATAATGTTCTTATGCAGTATGTGTCCTTATGAGACTGAGTGAGTTCACCCAGCATAGTGGTTGCCTCTCTCACGTTATACCATCTCACCCCAGTGGCAATGGCAAAGTTTAACAAGACGGCAAGAAGTCAGTGATGGCGAGGATGTGACCAGATTGGTACTCTCATACACTGTTGGTGGGACTGTAAAATGTCAGTCACTCTGGATGGCAGTTTGGTGTTTCCTCAAAAAGCTGAACACAGACATTCCATATGAGCCAGCTATTCCATTGCTAGGAATATGTTGTTGTTGTTAAATGCCGTCGAGTTGTAGGCAACTCATAGTGACACTATGAATGAAAGACCTGAATACCTGTATAACTTTCGTCGCTTCACCGTGTTCATAGAGTTTCCTGGGTGTAAGCTATTTCGGAAGTGGATGCCACTCCTGCTTCCAAGCTTGTTTTAATCGGGGAGTTTCACCAAACATTGTCTGCCATGGGTAACCATTATCACATTTGACACATCAGTGCCCCAGTGTTCAGCATCACCACAACCACGAGTTACCTCTGTACAGTAAGTAGACAGACCAGGGCTATATGTCTTAGAAGAATGTTTGACCAAAAACAATTAAAAACAGGCCTGAGGGCCCTACCTAATTTAAGAACCAGAGCATAGTTCAAATTTCATGAGCTCCTTCATTCAAAATTCCTCCACAATCATGCATTCTCATTGGCTCTCACCAACCAAAGCCCCCATCTTGGAAGATTCCGCTGTTTCTTCTATCGCCTCCTATTCTGATGCCACATGTTTCTTCATAGAGTCTGACTATTTTAATGCTTTGTCCACCATAAAGACTGAGTACACATGAGGAAGGATACATATATAAACAGAAAATGAACAAAGGCCTGAAGCCTTTCTAGGAATATACCCTGAGAAGAAACAGAACTGAGACAAGAATGGAGATTTGTTCATAGTAGCATTATTCACAAAAGCAAGAACATGGAAATAGGCTAAATGTTTATCAATAAACGATTGGATTGAGTAATGGTAATACATTCACACAGTGGAATACTATGCAGCACTCAGAAGCACCACCATTGCTTTTGGACTATATTCTGTTCATTGAAATTCTTCTGTTTCAGCCAAATCTTTTTAGTGACCCTGTGTACTCCTTTCATCTTCTTTTGATGCTTCCTGGATTATTCAATATTCTCCCCACAGCATCTTTACATATTGTAACTTGAGGTTTGAATTTGTTCTTTAGTTCTTAATTTCTTTCAGAAATGCTGAGCAAGTTCATCTCTTTTGATTTTTTTACTTCAGCTCTTTGCATATTTTATTATAATACTTTGCTTTGTCTTCATGAGCTGCCTTTTGAAATCTTCTGTTCAGTTCTTTAACTTCCTGATTTCTTCCTTTTGCTTTGGTGTCTTGGAGTTCTAGTGCAATATTCAGACATCCACCCCAGTCTCTTTTTCTTCCTCTGTCTTTATAATGACCATTCTCATTCTTAATGGATGATATTCCTGATATCCTCCCACAGCTCATCTTGTCTTCTTTCATTTGGGCTCATGGCCTCAAATCTATCCCAAAAAGGAGGAAATAGAAGATTTCTACCAAGTTTCTGCAGCCAGAAAAGATTGGAGCCACTTAAATACATTTTTGATAGGAGTATCTATTTTCATCTCTATGAACTGCCTTCATTATTTCGTGATGCTGTAACAGAGATATCACAAGGGATGGCTTTCAGAAACACAAATTCTCTTTCAGCTTAGGAAGCTAGAGTTCCAAATTCAGGGTGCTAAGTCTAAGTGCAGGCCATCTTATTCTCAGTTCTAGAGAAAGGTCCTTGTTTCCTGCAGCGTCTGTATCCTTGGAAAAACCTCACATGTGGTCCTTCCTGTGTCCGGGAGCTTGCTTGTGCAGGGACTTGAGTCCAAATGGATGCACTCCACTCCTATTGATTCTTTCTCGGTAGAACTGACATTTTCCCTTCTTGGTTTGCTTTCTTCCCCTTTTATTTCTGTTTT